GGGCAAGGTCGAGGGTGGTTTCTGTGGGCAGGCCTTTTCCAGGAACTTATTGCCCCCGGGCATTGTATTGTTTTTAGTAAACATGTTTAGTAAACATTGTCTTACAGCTGCCTGCTCCCAGGCAGAAGGGGAAGTGGGTCTCTGCTCAAGGTCTGGTTCCCACACTTTTTATATACCAATTTAAATACCATATGGATTCCTAATGTGCTTAATTACCAATTAGAACTGTATACTCAGTATATTAGCACCATTCCTAGGCATTTCTTAATTTTGCTGACACATTTATGACTATAGGATTTGATTTTTTTACAACTAAATGTAAAATAGCAGAAATGCTATATACTGTTCATAACACCTTTTTAAAATTATACTTTTATATTAGTAAGGGTTCTCTAGAGGAAGAGAACTTATAGAATGAATATCTGTATCTATCATCTATTGGCCTGCCTGCCTATCTACCTGTTTAGCTACCTCTCTGCCTATCTGTCTATGAAATTTATTAGGGCGACTTGCAGGCTATGGTCCAGCTACTCCAGCAATGACTGTCTACCAATGGAAAGCCCAAGAATCCAGTAGTTGCTTAGTCCATGTGGCTGGATGTCTCGGCTGATCTTCCCTGTATTGAAGACGTAGGTTTTAGTGGCAGTGGAGCAATGGACCTGCCAGCCAGAGGGAAGACAACCAGGAAAGAGAGCGTTTCCTTCTTGTACGTAGTCTTTTACATAGGCTGCCACCAGAACGTGTGGCCCAGATTAAAGTCGGATCCTCCCATTTCAAAAGATCTGGATTAAAAGTGCATTTTCCCACTTCAAATGATTTAATTAACAAAAAAATTTCCCACAGGTGGTACAAGCCACTTGGGTTTTAAGTAGTTGTAGATACAGTCAACTTGACAACCAAGAATAGCCATTACAGCTTTTATCTTAAATTTTTAACTGAGGTATTTGGGAATATTTTTTTACCTTATTATTTATTTATTTATTTATTTATTTATTTATTTATTTATTTATTTGGTTTTTCAAGACAGGGGTTCTCTGTATTGTTTTGGAGGCTGTCCTGGAACTCACTCTGTAGACCAGGCTGGCCTCGAACTCACAGAGATCTGCCTGCCTCTGCCTCCCGAGTGCTGGGATTAAAGGCGTGCACCACCAACGCCCGGCCTTACCTTATGTTTTTATAACTGTAAACTGAGTTTATTGATGTATAATTTCAAGTAGCTAACAATTATTTATTTAGGCATATATTTATTTGTGCATTTTGAGATAGGGTTTCATTAGGTAGCCCTGGCTGGCCTGGAACTTGCTATGTAGGCCAAACTGGGTGTGAATTCAAGTTCTTCCCGCCTCTACTTCTGCCTCTTGAGTGCTGGGATTAAAAGCATATGCCACTTTACCCAGCCTAGCACTGGTGTACTTTTAAAAACATTTTAGCTAATTTAAAAATGAGAGAAATAGTTAAAAAGCATTCATTTGTTTTATTGTACCATTTCTGTATAGCTCATGATAAAGATACAAAGTATTAAAATTAATTTGGTTTACAAAAGATGATGAACCATGTGGCAGAATAAGTTACTGGATGGATGCCCAAGGATGGCATTGGCCTGCCTCTTTCTTAACTGAAAATCAAGACTTTAAATTAGAAATACAATGTTTATTTGAGAGAGACAGAGAGAGAGAGGGAGGGAGGGAGGGAGGGAGGGAGGGAGGGAGGGAGGGAGGGAGGGAGGGAGGGAGGGGGAGAGGGAGGGAGGGGGAGGACGGGGGGGGAGGGGGAGAGGAGAGGGATGTTCACAGGGATGTTAAAAGACAGCCTATTTGAATCAGTTTTCATCTCCCACTGTGTGGGACCCAGGGATTGAACTCAGGTTCTTGGGCTTGATGGTAAGCATCTTTTTTTGTGGCTATATTGCTGGTCCTAAACTGGAGGCTTTTCATTTTTTTATAGAAATCTATTTTCATCAAAAATCACATTTTGTACTCTGGGGATCCTGTTTATGCCATCTTTTTAAAAACTATTTTATTTATTTATTGTGTATATAGTCTTCTGCCTGCAGGCCAGTGGAGGGCACCAGATCTCATTACGGATGATTATGAGCCACCATGTGGTTGCTGGGAATTGAACTCAGGACCTCTGGAAGAGCAGCCAATGCTCTTAGCTACTAGGCCATCTCTCCAGCCCCCTGTTTATGCCATCTTAACATGATGTCATAAAGTTTTCTAAGGCTTTTTCCTCCCTTGAAATTTAATATTATAAACTTTCCCATTAGTGCCTGAGATTCATTTTGAGTTAATTTTTCTGAGTGGTTTGAACCTTCTTATTTTTGCCTGTGGAATGCAATAGTTTTAGGAAAATTCATTAAGAGAATATTTACAATCTTTTCAGGTGTGTTTGTATGTGTGGTCAAGCATGCCATGAACTGTGCATCTGTAAGTCAGAAGGACAACTTTATGGAGTCGGTTTTCTCCTTCTAACTTTATGTGGGTTCTGGGCATTGAGCTCAAGTCACCAGACTTGAGTGACCCCTGTCTGAGCCGTCTTGCCTGCTTCAAAGGAATATTTCTTAACTTATTGAATTATCTTAACATGTTTTTAAAAACCTATTGAATTAATTGTAAAACATTTACATAACACGTTTAAAAAACAAAAACAAAAAAACCATTTAATCAGATCTGGAGTCACACTGTGTGTTTGTCTGCATTTATGTACCTAAGGGTACATTTGTGATAAATATCCATTTTATTTTCTGTCAAAATCATTTGTATAGTTCTGTCTTCCCATACAGATTTAAATCAGCTTATCAGGGTCAAGAATGTTGGTTAGAAGCTGGTCAGTGGTGGTGCACTCCTTTAGTCCCAGTACTCGGGAGGTAGAGGCAGGCGAATCTCTGTGAGTTCTAGGACAGCATAGTCTACAGAGCGAGTTCCAGGACATGCTCCAAAACTACAGATACACCCTGTCTAGAACAACAAACAAACAAACAAACAAACAAAGAATGCTGGTTAGGATCTGATTGGATTGCTTGGACTGATGTCAAACACCACCCTTCCAGGCCATGAGTGTTTAGAAATTTTCAGCATTTAGAAATTTCCCTTTCAAATATAGTTTATATATATCTCATTAAACTTAATCCTAAATGTTTTCGTGACGAACCATGGGATTTTTATCACTTGAGTCTGTAAGAGAAACTCTGAAGCAGACTTAACAATACCAACAGTGTTGTCTTCTGGCAGAATTGGAAGTAACAGCCAGTTTACTAGCCACAAGTGTGTGATTCATGAGAAAAACCCTGGCTTCCCTCAGCTGAGTTAAACAAATTGCCATGTTATTACTCACTAACTTTGTAGTACTATTATATGTATGTGTGAGTGTTCTTTTCCTTGTTTCAAACAGGTTTTGCTTAGGACCTGCCTTGCAAAGACATTGTGCCTCCTGAAATGTGCTAGGCGACTGTGGTTTGATGCTGTTCTTGTAAATGTGTTTCAAGACTTTCGTTCCTGAAATGATAGCCGGTTCTTACTGTTTTATGGTCAACCTGTGTCATCCATCGACACAGCTGTCCCTTTTAATTAATAAATTACATAGCTCTTAACGTGTTTTTCAGTTTATTTCTTCAGGGAAATTTTTTATAAAAATTATTGTGGAGATAGATATTGGAGCCGAGTCTCTATTTGACTCACCCCTCTTTGCATGGTGAAATGCTGAGCATTAAAAAGCCATTTTTGCTATAGCATGTGTCTACATGCTGAGGGGAGAGTCTGCTGTGGACCGTAACTTTTGAAGAAGCGGCCGGCCGACGCCTGTGCTTTCAAAGCACAGCAATCAGCAGAGACCTGTTTGTGCCACTGTGTAGACAGATAGCAGCGATCAGTTTAGCTGAGCTGTTTGTAGCCGCTCGGTCACGAGGACACTACCAAAGTGTAGCCCTCACACCACTGTCCCAGGCTGGGTTAGCTTGTGGCAAGAGAGAGATCTGCTCTGTCCAGCCCAGTACAGCTGAGGTAAGAACATCTTTATCTCTGGCAGGGGGAAAGCAAGAGCCGAGCAGCCGCCTCCTCCAGCTCTGCCCGTCTGCGATGATGTAAATTGATGTAAATGTCCGTCCCTCTTTACCGAGCTAATCCCTCAGGCCGGTGTACAGTTCAGCTTCTTTTTGGTGGAGAGCAACCAGTGCTTAGCACTGCTTTAGTCTATGTTAGCAACAAAAATTGCAGCTGCAAGCGCTTGCACGTTAGTTAGCATTTGACCTTGAAGACTCACAGGACAACAGACACTGGCGATTGCGCCTGATTTGCAGGAGTAGATAATGAATTAATAGAAATTGATAAAGAGCGTCTGTCAGGCAGCTGCTGAGGTCATGAGGCTGGTATGCGGAAAGAGTGCCATACAACATGCGTAACGCACAATGCAGCCCCGAGAGGTGGGTGGGTCATGGAAGCAGGAAGCGAGCCTCGGAAGGAATGTTGGCTCACCCAGAGCCACAAGCCAGGAGCACACAGGCTCTCCAGCAGCTAAGGGGGAAATGGGAGCGCTGGCTGCTGCAGAGACGGCTCCTGTAGACCATGGCAGCACTGGGGCTTGAAAGACAGTGAAGACAGTGCAGGTTGGAATTTTAGAAATTAAAATGTTCATATTACAAATACCAAATGCTTGATACTTCTCCTTAGGTAGATGAGACTCCAGAGGGAGCGACCAGAGGGTGGGACAGCAGGGGAGCACAGTCGAGAACCTTCCTTCCTTTTGTATGTACTGTGTAAGTAAAGGTGAAATGCTGGGCTTCCCTGTGCAGAGGAGCGGGGCTCTGCCATTGAGTGCTTGGTGGCAGTGGACTGTCCCTAAACTAGCCATGGAAAGTTTCTGGGATGTTGCAGTGTGTGCGTCTAGCTTCCAGATAGTTAGGGAATCTTAGCCAACTAGTTCATTGTCTTGACACAGTTTGTAATTCTCTCTCTTACACACACACACACACACACACACACACACACACACACACGCACACACACACACACACACACACACAGACCCCACTTCATATGTTATTTGATGTATGATTTCATTTGTAAGTGCCTGCCAATTTTTGACTGAAGCTAAACATTAAAAAGATAAAGTGTATTTTTATGGCAGGCTTTTCAAGCTACTTTCCTGAGTTTTCCTGGTACTTTGATGATGAAATCAATGGCTTCACCCATGGCTCACGGACTGACTAGTTGCTACCGTGCCTTGTACAAACAATGGGATGTAACTTTTTCATCCTGGAGTCATCAATACATGAATTGATTTTGGTTTAGGAGCATCAGTTGGTTATTCACATTTTGGTCAGTTACTTGTTACTTAGATTTTAAGGAGAATAATGAAATTCACTAACTGTCACTTTCTAGAAGAGATTAGAAAGCTCTGTCTTGTAGCTTGACATTTTTGGTCACTTGGGAAATTTGGATTACCTTTCAGTTTCTCTTTTACCACTGTGCTGTGATCTTCTGGTCATACACCCAGACATGAATTAAGTTTACATTCCGATGCAGAACTTGCATTCCGCCAAGCAGTTCTGACGCACACAAGAATGTGGAGGCCCATACACAGGGCAAGGTTAGGGACACTGATAGAGGAGGCTTCTGTACCCAGCTGCTGCCCTTTTCAGAACACTCACGCTGTTAGAAAGTGCTCCTGACCAAGTTGGGAGAATATGTGCCGGCAGAAACCTAGAGTCGGCTGGCCTTAACAACTTCTGCTGCTGCCTGTCCCACGCTTCCTCGCCCATGGGGCCTTACACTAACTAGGTAAGACTGTCTTTCTCAAACGTGTGCTTTCTGGTTATGAACTTGAGGGCTATTACAGACCTTCGTTTTAGGTTGCCTGTTTTGGATGCTGGAATGTCATGCTAATTTTGCACCTGTAAAAACATCGTGCCCTTAGTTTGTTTTGATTTGAAGAACTGAGTTAATTTATAATTCCTAATTTTTAAATTGTTCTGTGTGAAAAATCCAAGTGGGGCGAAACTGTGGACTGCTGTGCTGTGTGTGGTTCTGCAGGTGGTCTTTCTGTGGGTGACTGGTGGGGGGCTCACATGGTTTTGTTTTCATAAGGAAGAGAGCTCCAGCAGTTTGGCAAGTGTGGACGTGTGTAACTTTTAGCTGTTGTCTCACTGCTGTTTAATATTAAAGGTGATAAAGATGTTCTGGAATTACATTGAGCTTAGGACTTGGAAGCAAAATCGTGCGGTGTATTTATACAGAACAACTTGTAAGGATTTAAAACAGGTTACAGTTATTTCATGAGTAGTCTTTTAAAAACACTCACACCTCTGAGCGTTGGTAGCCCACACCTTTAAACCCAGGAGGCAGAGGCAGGCGAATCTCTTTGAGTTCAAAGACAGCCTGGTCTACACAGTGAGTTCTAGGACAGGCTCCAAAGCAATACAGAGAAACCCTGTCTCGAAAAAACCACAAACTCTCTCTTACACACACACACACACACACACACACACACACACACACACACGCGCACGCACGCACGCACGTGTGCACACACGCTGGCTTTTTTGTTTTACACATACACTGATTCTTTGTTTTATATACATACTGATTTTTTGTTTTACACACATACTGATTTTTTTGTTTTACACACACACACACTGATGTTTTTGTTTTACACACACTGATTTTTTTGTTTTATACACACTGATTTTTTTTGTTTCACACATGCTACTGTTTTTTGTTTTACACATGCTGCTTTTTTGTTTTGTGCACACACTGACTTGTTTTACACAAAATGACTGTTTTGTTTCACACATGCACTGACTTGTTTTGCACACACACATTGATTTTTGTTTTTACACACACACTGATTTTTTTGTTTTAACACACACTTGTTGCACACACACACACAGTGATTTTTGTTTGTTTTACATACAGGTTCACATAAAAATGAAGCCATTACAACTCTGTGATGACCTTTAAAGTATTTTAATTTAAATTTAAACAAAACAACCCCTATCTTTAAAATTCAAAGCAGCAGCAGGCAACCTACAGGCAGCTTGAAGTCCTAGCGATGACTGCCTGAGGACACTTGGTCCGTGTGGATTTGACATTCAAATCTTTGAGTGTTTTCATCTGACCTAAGGCTCTTACTGCAGTGTGTGATTTTGCTGAATTGGAATTGCTCTGTCAATTACAAATGCTGAGTGGTCTTTTCCGTTCAGCTAGCTGGGGTCTGGCCATTGAGACCTGTCTCTCATTGAAAGCCAGTTCTGACTGTCATTGGGTTACAGCTGTTTGAATACTCATCTTCCATTGCTACCTAATAAACAGTGGCTGTATTTTGGGAGTATATTGTAAGTTCTTATGTTGAAAGACTGATGTTGGATATCGATTTGGGTTACATGTCCAGTGAACACAGTAAGAGTGGGTAGCAAAATACTATGCATGTAAGAAATAACATGGGGAAGTCGCATGTATTGGACACGGACAAAGGAAAATGTGATTATGATGAGTTAAAGAAAACATAGGTGTAGCTGATTGCTAAGAGGATTCATTGAGTTGCCTGTGTTTCCAGGTTTCTTCCTCCTTCTTGCATCCACAGGTGCTGTCACGTCAGCGTTGTACGACCAGTGGACAGAGGTTGCTTCAGTGCTTTTCAGTAGTGTGGTCCAGTCGCAGACAGCTGGATGTGTTGCTGGGGACTGGGGTGCTCGCTGATTTTTTTTTCAGGACTCGAAGTGGTAGGCAGGTACTCTGCCATCCTCAGCCTGTAGTGGTTTGCTCCGAGTTCCTGCTTTTTCTTACGTAAGCCCTAAGTGTTTCTAAAGGCATCCAGTGCCACTAGAAGAAATAAGCGAACTGTGGGGCTTGCCCCGACTACCCTCTCAGTTCTCAGTGACCTCTCACTTTCTCTGTAAGTTCTCCTGCTCTACCTAACGTCTCTAAGTGGACTTCTATGACATTCGGGTTTTGTGCCTGGCCTGTTGCCCTGCGTATGATAGTCTCAAGGTTCATTCATTTTGTGTCATGTGCTAGTTCCTCAGTCCTTCTTGTGGCTGAATGACCCTCCATTGTGAGCTGCACGTGGTGTCACGCCATTGTGTTCCCTGAACTTTGGAGGCTGAAGGCGGGAGGTTCATGAGTTTGGTGCTAGACTATCACCACCAACACCTTGGAGTTTATTTTATTTGTTACATACATAATAGTGTCTGTTTCCGTGTGTGCTCATTGTGAATTGTGTTGCAGTGAGCTCTGCTGTACAGATACTGGAGCCCGTCTCCCCTTCCCTAGCACTGATGCTATAGGCACTACTGCCACAGCCTCAGAATTTTATCAGGTGGTCTCCAGGGATCCCAGTTCAGATCCTTACGCCTCTAGCTGGGAGGCATCCAAGTGAGCCACTTCCCAGCCCATAAACATGACAGATGCCCTGCTTTAATGTAGTTTGAGGGTGCTGGCCTTTCTCCTTCAGCATATTTGAGAGTTAGTCTGGTGGAGGATTGCCTCTCCTGTTGACCACTTTGTGATGTCTACGAGAGGTGAGTCTTGTTACTGCAGAGTTGGTCAGGCTCACCTGCGGCTCACACCCCACGGACTCTCCTGGGCACATATTATGTACTGCGGACTTTGTGTCCCAGAGCAGCAGTGTTAGTGCAGCTCAAAGCCCTGAAGAGACTTAAGAGGATTTGCAGTGTAGACTAGGATGTGGGGGCATTGGTGTAAGAGCTGTGTGTGCATACCAGAAATGATGTACAGTTTGCCAATGTTAAAGTAGTAGCATGTTTGATTTCTTTTGTCAGGTATAATAGGACCATTGTATGCGCTACAAATATTTATGATTTCTTTACTGTGCCTGTATTTTCAAAAGAAGCAGTCATGTTTATAAAATTGTCTAGGCCTGAATGGAATAAAATATGACAACTGAGAGCCTCAGAGTTGTGCTTTGACTTGCTTATTTATTTTGAGGTGTTGGCAGTCAAACCTGGGAGTTGCCCTTGCTAATTATACACACACCGCACAGAGCTTCACAGCGGCCCCTTTCATTCATTTTTAGATTTTAATGTCATGTTACCAAGTAACAAACCTTAAATACACAATATACGCTTTTACCTGGTCACGTAAAAGAATTAAAATGATGTTGGCGAGCCTGTCGTGTATTTTACTGATATATCAAAATTATTTTTCACATGGTTGTGAAGCATCACTTAATTCTTTGAGAGACCGTGTCTCTGAGTCAGTCCCAGGACTCTTAAATTATGGCTAGTCTCAATGAGCCAGCAGCTTGCTCCAGGGATCCGCTGACACGGCTTTCACCAGTACACCCATGCACGTTTGCAGTGGGTCCTGGGACTTAACTCCAGGCCTCTTGCTTGCACGACAAGTGCTTTAACCCTGGGCCGCCTCTCCAGCTCGTTGGCAGGGTTTTTCTGCTATATAAGGCACTCTGATCTGTGTATGTCCAAATGTGTGTTCAAGGGTTTTTAAAAGTATGTTTCAGTGGTGTCAGCCATGATTCTGGTTTTGATCTTCCATGAAACAAAGTTTTAAGCCCAGAAGAACATGACCCTGCTCTGACTGCTAATCTCATGTGAATGAGTAAGATTAACAGACGTGGCCAGAGTGACTGCTTAGCACATATAAGGCTTTCCTGTTTTCTTCTTCATTTTCATAGCTGGGCTCCTAGTATATGAAACATTGTGTGTCATGGTATAAGGGCCCTATAAAAGGAACAAGGATTTCCATAGAAATAGCTCAGAATGCTAATTAACCCAGGGGTGGGGGTGGGGACATTCAATTAAAATTAGTTATTGGGAAGTTTTTCCCCCCTTTAAAAGATGTTGTGGAGTGTGCATTGTGGACTTTCCTTGTGTCATAAAGGAGAACAGATATTTATTGTTTGCACAAAAGTTGGCGAACTGGAGATTATTATGTTAGATGACATAAACCAGTCTCAGACGAGTATCACATATTTGCCCTCAGATGTAGACTCTATATTAAAAACACAGAACACAAGAAAGTGGAAGGGGAACAGGAGGACGCAGATCAGAGGGGATAGGGAGGGGGCCTCGGGTAACAGGAGGACGGACAGGTAAAGGCATACATATGTGTGTAGCTTGTAGTGAAGCCTGCATGTGTGTTTGTTTTGTTGTTTTCATAGTTACTGTGTGTACTGAGCAAACTAAATAGATTAGTAAAACACATGCATACAACGTGGCGAACTGTATATTCAATCTACATTGAAGCTTTAAGGAATTGCTTTTAGAGGGAAAGGACAGTCTTTGGAGTAGTGAGTAGGTGGAGACAGGCAGTTCATGGTTGGAGAAGGCAGGTCCGAATCACATTGGCACACCAGAGTTCTAGTTTGTAAAGACACTGTCAGAAAAACAGAGCAAAAAGCAGTCTTCTTTGGTGTTAGAGGGGAGTCCACTGGGATGGGGAGGGGGGCTGCTCCCATCCCCAGGGTAGAGCTTTTGGGGAGATGGTTCTTGCACACGATTGTGCACACGCTTTGTACTCATGGAAGAGCAATCCTGTGCTGGCACCTTATTCACAAAACCTTTAGAATAAATCGACCAGCAAAATTAGAAAGTGAACACAGTCCCATGTAAAAGTAATATTGAGTCCTAGCATATTATCTTAGAAAAGGGGATCGATTGTAACATATACTCATGAACATTTTTGTAGTTCACAGCTAGGCCATTTCTGTCTGTATTGAGATGTTCCACAACTTCACCTCATTAAGAATGATGTTTTAACAGTCCACCGCAAAACATGGTTATATCAGTTCTTCTTTACTTAATTGATTAACTTGAAAACAGATTTCCAGAAAACATGATTGAAATTTAGGAACTTAAATTGTTTTGTAGTTTTTCTTTGTAAAATAACGACTAAAGGCATCTTTAATGCGTAGTTTTTGTTATTAATTATTTCTATAGTTGGGGGTTAGCTTGGATTTCTAAGAAATTCATGTTTCTTGGTCCCTGAGTCTGTTGTTTTTTTTACCCCTTTCTAGTTTTGGCAAGCGTTCTGCAGGAAGCTTTAGGCGTGGCTGCGAATGCATTGTATTAGAGCCTTCTGAAATGATTGTGGTAAGAATATCTCTTCCAGAACCTTTTATTTTCCTGAAGTATTTTTTTTATATCAAATACAAGCACTTTCAGAAACTACCTATTCGTCATAAAGTGTTGTATTTTTATAACAGATCTGATTAATAATTACGGGTTTGAGCTTTATAATTGTAATTATTTACAAACCTCAGAAGTGGAAGATAGGAAATTGACCAGAGACAGTGTTTGGTGTTTGAGCTTTGTAATTCAGTCAGGGCTATGCCTTTTAGCTGGAATTTGGGGGACCCTGGGACCGTAGAAGTTTAGCTCTGAGTGGCCATTGCATTGAACAAGTTCCTTTAAGTGAATTCCATTGATGTGTATCCAAGGAACAGCTAACACAAGGCAGTCCTGGAGTTCCTTTAGTTGGAAGAAAATTAGAGAACACCATGTGGATGTAAAGCCCCTGACACCCTATTCTCTCAGTAGTGGGATTTAAGACACATTAAGATAAGGCATTGGATGGAATGTTAAAAATGATTTTAGTAACACCATTATTTTCAGTAAAACGTTAAAGAAAAACCATCTGTGGTTTTCTTCCTTATTGTATAAAAAATGATTTTTAGGAGAGGATATTAGGTAGGCACTCCTGAAAAGTAACAAAAGCAAAGACGGGTGTGTGTGTGTGTGTGTGTGTGTGTGTGTGTGCGTGCGTGCGTGCGTGCGTGCGTGCGTGCGTGCGTGCGTGCGTGCGTGCGTGCGTGCGTGTCTGTGTCTGTGTCTGTGTCTGTGTCAGGTAAGGTACCCAGCTTGTAAAACACATGGGGTGGGCCGGGCGTTAGTGGCACACGCCTTTAATCCCAGCACTCGGGAGGCAGAGGCAGGCAGATCTCTGTGAGTTCGAAGCTAGCCTGGTCTACAGAGCGAGTTCCAGGACAGCCTCCAAAACAATATAGAGAAATCCTGTCTTCAAACAAACAAACAAACAAAAAACCCAACAACAACAAAAAACACATGGGGTGGAACTTTCTTGATCACATTTGATTAAATATTTGAGGGCAGTTCTAGGTCTTTTTTTTTTTTTTTTAAGAGACTGGATTTTCCCCATGATGTTAGAGAGGAATTTTGTCAGCACTAAGAACTTCCTTTCTAGACTTAGTAAAAAGTTGGGGTCAGATCTTACAAAGTGAGAAAATAGGACGGTAGTGGTAAAAATTTAGAATTATGAAAAGTGTAAAGCTTTCCAACATTTTAAATTGGGATGTTTTGCCTTGCATATGTTGTTTTTGGATTTTACAGAACTTTGCTTTTTTGACGTTCTTGGAGTTTCGTACTTTGAAGATAATAGAGGAACCTATTGCATTTGCTCCCGTGAGTGGAGTCTGAATATGCCTCTGCATGAGAGCGGTCCTGGAGAACATAGTTGAGGAATAAACTGACTTCACTTGTTCTCCATTAGTGTATTCACTAGAATTTTTAAAAAAATGTTTAAAAGGAGAATTTTTTTTAAAAGCAGTACTCAATGAGCAAAAAAGTCGAAGCTGTGCTTGTAAAGCCGGAAGAGGAACCTGATTTCCTAGAGCAGTTCTGCTAGCACTGTTGGCTGCATAACCCAGGATTACAGGGCATTTTTACAGATTTTCTCAAGTGTGTGTGTGTGTGTGTGTGTGTGTGTGTGTGTGTGAGTGAGAGAGACACGTTATGACAAGCAGTAGCGGCAGCCATGAAGTGTGGCAACATATCCCATGACCTCTTTGACTCATAAGTCAGCACAAAGCCTACTGAAGCGTCTTCCCCCGAAATGTCAGGGAATTTAAGAGTAACCCGGACTGTCCCAAGTGGGACTGAGAATACCTCTCCACAGAAGAAACCCAGTTAGCCTCAGAGAGGTGCAGATTCACTTCAAGTTTGTCAAGAGATACCTGCCAAATGAATGAATGCAGACTGTTTGTAAGTTTATTTTTGCATTTAGTATTAATGTCCAAATGTCCTGATTGGAGAAATGAAATATCTCTGGGGTTTTATTTCAGGTGGACTATATGGATGAAAATGAAGAATATTTCCAGCGCCAAGCCTCCCACAGACAGTCTCGAAGAAGATTTAGAAAAATCAACCAGAAAGGCGAAAGACAAACGATTATTGACACAGTGGACTCATACCATGTGGGCAAGCCCCCTTTACCTAGAGGCTACCATACGGTAAGTTGCAAAGAACTGTTGCGTATCATAATTTTGTTTGTGGTAGGGGTAAAAAGATGATGCAAATGTTCAAATTGGTTGCTTCTGCAGTATTTACTTATTCATTTATTTTGAAACTGGTGTCCGTATGTAGCCCTGGCTGGCCTGGAATTCACTTTGTGTAGACCAGGCTTGCCCAGAACTCAGAGAGCTCCATCTGCTCTTCTCGTTTTTTTGTTTTTTGTTTTTTTTTTCTCTTGAGTGGAAGCATACATCAACTCATCTAAATAGATTTCAGAAAGTATTGAAACAAGAAGAGACACTGTTTGCTCTTTTATTTCTTAAACTATTATCTGAGATAAACATGGAACATTTGAATTGGTATTTTGTAAGTTTTCTTCCCTTAATTCAAGAAGTTAGTTTCCTGCAAGCACCCCTCTCATGATTGCTATCATATCTGCTTTTGTTTAAAAAGTAGATATGTGTGGGTTTTACTCTGTTGTGAGGCTGTGTCCTCACAGAAAACTGAGATGAGAATCACTTGAAATGTCTTTAAAAAGTCTCAGTGAGAAGATGTTCTGCAGTACTTCTGCTAACCACGTTTAAAGATCCTCTTAAATGCTGGGACCCATTGATTGTCACTTATTTCATAGACATTTGATAAGTAAATTCTCTTTCACATTTGAAGAAACCAAGACATGGATAGTGGGTGCCTTGTATAAACTCCTGCAGTCCAGTTTAGAGCCTCATTTTTCTTTTTCAAAACGGGGAGGACCCTGTGTTCTTTATGCTAACAGAGAAAGTGGCTTAACGGTGCGTGTGATCCAGAATGTGAACATTATATGAAATTAGCCTGTAGCTTGGTGACTATTTAACACATCTCAGTTTTTCTTTCTGTGGGTAAGTACAAGTGAAAATGTGTATAGACCAGACCATTTGCTCAGGGTTTCATAACGTTAGGTTGCCTGGTTTACACGCTTCTTTCTTAGAGAGCTCATTGTATTTCAGTTTAACAGGAATTTGAACACATGTAGTCTGCCTATTCCACGCGCTACTTCAGCACATCATGGGGAATCATTTGCTTGAGTTTTTTGTTTGCTGTCTGCTGGAGAGACTTGGGTATCAGGAAGAAGAGAAGAGCTTGAAAGAAGCTGGGCATGGTGGTGCCTGCCTGTTTTTTCGCACTGAGGAGCAGCCAGAGGCAGGAGAATTGCTGCAGGCTGGAGGCCCACCTGTTCTACATAGAAAATTCCAGGCCAGCCCGGGCTTCACACCAAGACCTTGAGTCAAAAAATAAAAAGGAAGGCTGAGGGAGGGGTGGGGGTAGTCACACATTGTTTGCTCAAACTGGTTTCCACCCTAAGAGAGTCAGGCGAGCGTGGACTTCCTAGCTCAGTGTTAACACTGATTGGATTAACCGGATGGGCATGTGTGGGGCACTCAGGTTAGAGGTTCATATCATAGCCGTTTCTCTTTCCTGCCCTGTCTAGTCTTTTAAGGAATATTTCATTACCCTTCCATACATCATTTCCCTTTCTTGGTCTGTTTTTTAAAATGTGTGTGTGTGTGTGAGAGTTTTTAAAAGTATTTTCTTTACAAGGTATATTATCTGGTCAACAGATACTTTTAGAAATAATTCAACATTAAAGTAAAATTTTATCAATAATTTATTTACTAATATGTGACCAGTTGGCATTAATTTTACTAAATGAACTAAGATTGGCAATATTATGGTTATAATTCAAAATACTGGGTCTTTTTTGAAGTGTAAATTGTATTTTAAACACACACACACACACACACACACATGCTTATATGTATGTACTTATTTGACCTAAACAGGTTTTAACAAGGAAAACAAAATTTGTTTCATATATTTGATAGTCACAGTAAAAAAAGATTTAAATGGAAACTGTCATTCTTCATTTGCTGTGAGTTACATTGTTCATAACAAAATCTCTCTCTTGGAAAGAACTTGACTAGTATAGTGGCCTAGGCTGGAAAGCTGGCCTCAGGTAGTTGGGTCGCATGAGTGTACTCGGGATGAGTCACAGTAACTCTCCAGTGCATGGCTAAAGAGCGCAGCACAGTACACACAGCCCAGCCTACACTGTCGTTCTACACTGATGTAAACATGATCTTCATTTTGGCAGATGCAATGTGTAGCATGTCTGACAATGTTCCTCTTTTCCTTTCCTCCTTTATGGCACTCATTTCATTCTGGCTCAAAGGAATGCACTAAATCCCAGGTATTGTAATCCGTGCGGTTTCTTACCACTAATCTGAGTTTTTGTGCATGATGGGTTTGCAATGTTACTAATGAATTGTAGTGCTGATGTCATTTACTTAGTCTTGTCCTGCTGTGTTTTACCCCGTTGGAGGGAAACTTGTGCACGCCGTGGAAGTGTTGGTTTAGGAGGAGGTAGCGCAGGAGGCTTCCTTCGTCTACAGATGAGCTGGTCCTTACCTGGAGAATACAAGTGCAATTTAATTATTTTTAAAAATAATGGAGCACTGGTTCTTGTTAACTTGTTTTGTAAATAAGAAAAAGACACTGGAATTGCCTTGCTTTTTTGTGGGAAAGCTCATGGGAAATTCCTTAGAAACTTATATTTTAATTGTTCTAGAGATGAAAGAGCAAGTTTAGAAATCCCAGTGTGAGAGCATTTGGGGAATGTACTGGGGAAATTTCAGTTACATTAAGAAACAGAAACAGGCTTAGTAAAAAAAAAAAGTAATTGGAGCTTCAAATATCTTATTGTGTTTTCTTATTTGCACCTTAATTTTAACCAGATTTCATGTGTTGTTTTGGCTACATTTTAATTAAGAGGTCTAGAATACCCTGTTTTGTTTCTTAATGCCTGCAATAACTAATCTGTTATTTTCAGAATTGGTCTTTTGTTGGTGTGGGTCATGTTTGGCTTAGTAAGTTTATAATTATGGAAGAAAAATTGATGACTATGGAAGATGGTTGAGTAACAGTAACATTTATGGCTATCTTACTGTATCAGGAGAAAGGTCATGAGTAATAAATTACATTTATATTGAGGAAATTTGTCATTAATATTTTGGGGTATTGCTGCAGTCTTGCTTCAAATTACAGAATATATAAATTTTCAAATTAAATGAGACAGCGCCTTTATATGCTGCACAAGAGGATGCATGTTTGTATTTCAGAGGTGGCATGGTTGGTTTAGAGTTGCTTAGGCACACTGTTGGTTTGTGTGTGGGTCGGCGGTGGTGTGATGTTTGCACACACGTGTACATGGGTGTGTGCCAGTGTATGGACTCAAATCGGATATTCTTTATGACTCCCTGCTGTGTTCTTTGAGGTAGGGTTTCTTGCTAAACCCGGAGCCTGCTTTTACCAGCTGGGCTGGCAGCCAGCAAGCCCCAGCAGTCCTCTTGTCTCTGCCCTCAATAGTGCTAGCGCTTTAGGTGTGCACAGAGACAGAGCTTGCTTTTTTGATTATTTTATGTGTATGAGTGTTTTGCCTGCATGTATGTATGTGTACCACCTGCTTGCCAGGTGTCTGAAGAGTTCAGAAAAGGGTGTCGGATGCCCTATAATTGGAGTTACAGACAGTTTTGAGACACTACATGGGTATTGGGATATCAGACATTAGGAACCAAGCATGGGTTCTCTACGAGAACAGAAAATGTTCTTATTAACTGTTGAGCCATCTATCTAACTCCAGCACACACGCACGCACGCACGCACGCACGCACACACACACACACACACACACACACACACACACACACACACACACCCTCCTGTTTCTTTGGGTGCTGGTGCTTTGAACTCTGGTGCTCATGTTTGCAATATTAACCTCTAAGCCATTTCTCTAGCCCCGATATCCCTAATGTTTGAATTATGTGATAAATCTAAAATTTTTTTATCCAACTTCTAAGCCTGATGGGTGTGTAATTTCTAAATCACATAACATTTAAAAAAGTTAGTGTTTTCAGTTTTTACCTGGAAAGACAGTACTTTAAGAATACCTAATTTAATAGCTAAAAAATAGTCCACAATGTAATTTTTCCCTTTTAATCCACATGTAGTTTATCCCTTTTTTTGGAATGAAACATTAGGACCTAATTTTGCTTTAAAACTTGAATTTCAAACACACACACAGTGATGTATCCTTTATGTACTCTTTTAAAATTAAATGTGTTGTAATAGTTTAAAACAGGATATGGTGGTTTTCTTCAGAATTATGAAGGTTAAATCCGTGTAGGGCGTTTTCAGAACATTTTGCAAGTCAAGCGTGTGAGGTTGGAGAGCGAGAGTGCTTTAATACGCAGTGAGAAGAGAACTCTCAGTGTTTTCTAAGGTTTTGATGAGTGGAACTTGACACTCGTGTTAAGGTGACCGATTCAGCCTCGTGGTGGGTGAGTAGGTTATGGAAGCGAGTAACGCTGCTTGGCAGAGCCTGGTAAATTTGGTGTTGCTTCCAAAAAGACCTTCTTGGGACATAAACCAGCACTGGTTTACCTTTAAGAGTGCGGTAGGAAAGAGGACTTAGTCTGTTTTACCCTTCCATTGATTACTTTGGGCTGTTTCTGGAATTTGTATGGCAGGGACACCCCAGGCCCATGGTGAGGTTGGAGAGGACCAGGTGTTGGATCGGAAGTCAGGAAGGATGGTTAACTCACCTATTGGAAGTTGACACACACTTCTTTTGGTGTCTTTTATTCTCCTATCTTAATGGGGGGGGGGCTCTTTATTCCTTCCAAGTTGGAAATAGCCAAACCGGTGCAGAAAGAAGTTGGACTGTAGACTAAAGAAAACATTTCATGTGTGGATGTTATGTATTCCCACTGAAGACTGAAGGGTTTCTAGCTTCCAAGGCTGTTAGAAAATGAAAATGTTCTCTACTCTTGAAGTTCTCATAGACACACTGCTCCACTACTGCTTGCTGTGTAAAGTATACTTCTGCTTCCTATAAATGTGAAGATAGTACAAGATAAAGCTTTCATATTCTCAGTGAAGATAAGTTGAGATCATGAAAACCTGTTAGTCATGGAAAAAGATATGTTCACATGCATTCTGGCGGCTTTTGTTTTCTACAAGAATTATAGGAGTGGAGCTTTTCAGTAGTACAGGTTTAAGTTCTTGGTTGTGGGTATGCATTGTACCAGTGTGTTGACTACAATGTGATCTTAATACTTTCTATTGCCAGCATCTGTAAAATGTGACATCAATATAAGGTGATACATGTGGGAGGCTTTGGAAGATCCCTCCCCTTTGTTTTTTAAAAATAAGATCAGTCAGTCAGTCTTGTTTATTTATTTAGAGATGGGATCTCACTGGCTAGCCTGGAACTCAACATTATAGATCAGGCTGGCTTTGCCTCACAGAGACCCAGATGCCTTTGTCTTTTGAATACTGAGATTAAAGGTATATGGTACTATGGCTGGCTATATGGACTGGCTATAAGGGTTTTCTATTTGTTTGATTGTTTTCTTCCCTGTGTGTGTGTGTGTGTGTGTGTGTGTGTGTGTGTGTGTGTGTGTCTGTCTGTCTGTCTGTCTGTCTGTCTGTCTGTCTGTCTGTGTCTGTTTGTCTGTGTCTGTGTGTCTATGTCTGATAAATCCTACTTTTTTTCATGGCCATATAAGATATCACTGGGTTTTTTTTTTCCAGCATATCTTACACGTTTCTAAGTGAGATTAAAAAAATATTTTCCATGTTTTAAAGTTAAACTTATTTTTAGTTCACACATAAAACCTGACAATTAAACATGTTTGTGAATACTTTATAATTCATTGTGTGATGTTTAAATAGGAGAAATATGACAGTATTTTCAAGCATACATTATCATTTTATGATATTTTTTTAAAGAACAAACTTAAGTTGGTGTTTCCAGTTAAAGATTTCTTGGTAGGTTCGGTTTTAAAAGTTATTACTTGTTGAAATAAAAAGTTTATGCACATTTGTTTTACTTGACACATTTTTTTGATTGAGCTATTAAATAGAAACCTAAGTATTTTCACCCATTTCATGGCTTTGCTTTCTCACTTCCTAGCTTTTAGATGCTTCCTTAGTTTGACGTAGTGCCTCCTGTTTAGCTTAAGAAAATACACTTTGAGTTAGATGTCAGTGACTTCATATTTAGTAAGTTTCCTGGAATATTAAGATCTTCAGAGTTTATCTTAGCTCACGTCTTTCCTGACTATAATTCATTTATATATTTAAAATGTTTTAACACACATAAAATTACATTGTAAGTGTGGGGTCAGTGTTATAACTATTGCTTAAACATTTATCCCTTATTTACCCATCCAGCATTTATTTGCTTGAGTGAAGCAAAAGCATTTGTTAGCACTGGTGTTTTCATTGTCTTTCTTGAATTACAGTAGGATAGGGTTTCAGAAAACTGAAATTTTTTATTTCCTTTGTCATATAGGAAGAAGTCAGTATTTTATTCTGTAGAACAAGTAGACTTGTTCATCTGACAAACATTTGTTGGATGCCCAGTTTTCAGATCTGTGTCAGATTCAAGTGATTTGTCCCCTTGACCTTGCAATTTCACAGGGAATATGGATAATAAAAACATAAGAAAATATAATATTGAGGAACATGCACTGGGCACTTTGAAGAATCAGGAATGGCTTTCTTATTAGCCATAATGTAATGCCATGACCAAAGGAAATAGTTCAAGTATAGAATTTCATTTGCTTAAAGACTAAAGGCCATGGGGAGACCCACTTTGGGGAAGCCATGTTGAAAAATGAACACAAGAGTGGCCATAGAAGAGGTTGTGACACACTGAGGTTATCCATCCATCCATCCCATCCATCCATCCATCCACCTATCCATCCACCCACCTATCCATCCATCCATCCATCCATCCATCCATCCATCCATCCATCCATTCACCCACCCACCCACCCACCCACCCATCCACCCACCCACCCACCCACCCATCCATCTGTGTATTTATTTGTTCGGTCACTCACTCACTCACTCACTCACTCACTCACTCACTCTTTGGTTTTGAGACAGGGTTTCTCTATGTAGCACTGGCTGTCTGAGAAACTTGCTCTATAGACCAGGCTGGCCTCTAACTCACAGAGATCTGCCTGCCTCCGTCTTGTAAGTGCTGGGACTAAAGGTGTGCTATCCTGCTCAGAGGTTTGCTTCTTGATAAACTTACCTGCTCCAAGCTCAAATAGGGATGACCCTAAAGACCTGCTTGCGTGGTGGAAGTGGAAATAGTGTGTGAACTTGACAACTGAGATA